GCCTGAGCTGGCAAAAAGCTGCTGTTCCACACCCTGGAAGGGGCTGAATTGATTTTTATTTATTTCATTGATTTTGATCTAAATTTGTACCTATACATTTATTTTTTTTTTTGTATAAAAATCCATTCTTTCTTTTAATATTCCTGGATGGGGCCAGTCCCATCTCTACCAGGAGCTCCAGCACTCTCAACCCTGCTCTGGAGGATTTTCTCCCTTCAGAGGATCTTATTCCCATGAAGGATTTTCTCCCCATGGAGCGCTGCCAGGCTCTTCCTGCAGCTCCACGGGGACAGGGATGGCCAAGTTTTTAATCCTTTGTTAAAAATAAAGGGAAGTCTTTCCTATGGAACACATTTCTCCTTTAGAATTCCGACTGCTTTACTGAAATCCTCTGAAACACGTGAAATTTGCCCTCCCCTCTGCAGTCCTGCACCTTCCCCGGGGGGTTCCCCTGCCCATCCGTGTGCCCAGCTGGCTCTTTGCCAACAGGAATTCTGTTTTCCAAGCGAAACCCCCCAGTTTGGGTTGGATTTGAGGAGCGCCAGAGAATCTGGGCCCAAGGGAGAGAGATTCCCAAGGGGTGCTTTTTCCCCTCCCTGAAACCTGATGCTGGTCCCGAGTCCAGTCCCGGCTAAATCAAGTCCTCAACAGGTGCCAAGATAACAAGGAAAAATAGCAACAGTGGACTGGGAGACCCGAGGCCTGATGCTCCACAGCTCCCACTGCTGGAGATCAGCCTGCTCTTGATCCTGGAAGAGGAGGAGATGGACAAAACTGGTTCCCCCCTGGGTCACAACGCTCCCAAAACCGACTCATGGCCTTGCTCTGCTTCTGGGTGAAGGGTCCCAAATCCACCAAACTGCTAAAAACTGGGATTTGGGCTTTGAGTCCGTTATTTCCGGATTTGTAGGGCTCCTGGATGAAATTCTGCTGGATTAGCACCAGGAGAAAGACGGGAAGTGAGTTATGGGAAGGCTCTGAGGGGCAGAGGGGGTTTCTAACCCTGGGCATTTATTTTGCTGCAACGTCACATCCTTAGGGAAAAAGGAACACGTGAGAATCGAACCCAAAAAACTGGGATGTGCCTTCAGGAGAGGAGCTGGGATCAGCTGGCACCACCCATGCGAGAGCAGTGAGTGCAAACCAGGGGGTCACCTCTCCCCTTTCCCGTGGTCCAGGCCTCCAATTCCTTTCAGGTGCGGAGACCCCTGATCCAAGGTGAGGCGTCTTTCCCGGTCGCAGCCACGGATCCGGAGCCAGCCGCTCTCCCGGGTCCCACGCGGAGCGGGCGGGGGTTAAAAGTGCAACAAAACCACCCAAAGAGCAGAGCTGAGGAGGAGGAGGAGGAGGGGGGACGAGGACACGCGAGGGCAGCTCGCCCCGGCCTGGAAGATGTGGAGCTTCTCGGCGTCGGGCAGGAAGAGCCGGGCGTCCTCCAGCGCGCCGCGGGCCGCCATGGTGAAGTTGGCGTCGCCC